GTACCCTGTTTGTCGGATTTTACTTCGACAGTTAATGCGAAAACGACGCTAAGAGCCTCACCCCTGTATTTTTGGAATCAATAAAACAAAGGACTTAAATTTCACTTATTTCGAGACAAAATAACTAGTAACAATATTTATTTGATGAATTCTCTTTATAAGCTTGTTCGATACGGTGTTCTCGAAAACATAAACTGTTAATTTTTTTAGTATAACGTTAATTTAACAAGTTTTGATAATGTGACCCATTTACTTCCATACAATAATATAAAGGACCCCGCAGAAACCTTATGAGAACTGGCCCTCAGTGGAATTTCATGAAATTATGCATATTGATAGTTCTTGACCTATAGATTAAAAGTGTCCATGGGCACAAAGTTCTAAAAATTTGCCTTTTTGAGTTACACTCGTTTGAAGTTGCGTCATATGTGAAATTGCTCAAACCTTATACAGTCTAGTTTTTTCGGTTATCTCGTGAATTTTAGAATGACATATGTATAGTATAATACGTTTCAGATTATTCGATTCCAGAAATGGCGACTTTTAAACCATAGACGTCCTAAGAGGGGTTTAAAAATAAATATGGGTAAATAATGAGGTGAGTACAGGTAGTAAAGGTACCTACATGTTTGATACTAAATTGATGAAGGAACATTATATTCAGTAGAAAATAAAGCATTGTATGCACCATTCGAAAAAAATTAACCCACTCGCTAGGGCTCGTAAGTTAAACTTTCTTCTCATGGGTAAACATTCATTTAACTCACTTGGTGTATAAATAACTATTATTTTATAATTATTTTTAACCCCTCTTAAGACGCCTATGGTTTAAAAGTGGCCATTTCTGGAATAGTATAATTTGAAAAGTATTATATTACAATGATACTATGATGTTCTAAAATTCACGAAGTAACAGAAATAACTAGACTGTATAGGCCAAGGCACTTAGCGAAATAACAGCCATATTTTAACATAAAATTTAACAGCAAACTATCGATGCAATATTGTTAAGGATCATTTATAGATGCAAAAAACCAAAAATGCAACATCTAATTACTTTTAACGGATTTTATAAACAATATTTAGTGCAAAAACAGGGCTTTTTTTGTTTATTTCACTGTATTTCGAAAACTAAGGATCGGATGGTTTTGCTACTGTGGCAATAGTTTTAGAGCATTGAACAAGCTTTACAATGAGTCATCATACAACCCTGTAGGTCTTTTAGTCTTCGAGAAATGATTTTTTCCCCCAAAAAAAGAGATTTTCGTAAAAAATTCCTAACTTTTTTAATTTTCATGCTAGATAATTAATTTTTTACACATACATAGTAGATGAGGCAGGCTTTATTGAGCCCAAATTTGGGCCTGGTCCGATGGGCCGAGCTATCACTTGACCCATCTTTCCATTAAAGATTAAGGGGTTGGAGCCCACCCCCGTTAGGGGTTGAAAGTGACAGGGCTAAAAATATGCAGAGAATATTTCCCCCTCCGAAACAAAATACACGTGTCCGAGCATTTTTTTCTTAAATTTCACAAAAACCGGTAAATCTAGGTGGATACTTTTCAATGGACCACTCTTTATATCAGGATTCTATAAGAAAATCATACATTTTGATTTCGCCGCGTAATGAAAAGTTATTCTTGTGCTTTCTTTTTTTTTTTTAACGTGCATTAACACTGCACAGAACAGTAGTGTTGCATTTTTCGTTTAATTTGCAATGTAAAGCTTTTTCTTCAAGTTCACGCGATGTTTCAACACAAGATTCAGCACGTATTGATGTGATGTCGCTTTCATCTGAGAATGAATGAAGCAACGGGTGTACCACAATCGTCTAATACTTCTACTTCTATAAGGGAAACACATATGGTTGTTGATGATGAGTAAGTAAAATAGTGGGTATTAAATTGAAGAGGTAGTCCATCTCTAAGTGCAGTTTAAATTTAATTCAAAGGAAAGAAAAGGCACGAAGTCTTCCTCCACATTATATATTATACCCTACATATTTGGAGGATATAGATCCTCATCCTCAGAGGCAAAAAAGCTCAAAAATGGTGAAATAAAATAAAAGTATAGGACGCCAGACCTCGCATTTGCACTGGGAGAAAAAAAATTAACTAATATACAGAAAAATATTTTTCCTACAGCCGTACGGAATAATCGATTTTCCGCACTGATATGCGTGCGGAAAATGAGTTTTCCCGCACGGTGCGGTAAAACTTTTACCGCACGCATATCAGTGCGGAAAGAGTTTTTCCGCACGGCTGTCAGTGCGGAAAAAATTTTACCGCACTGATATGTCAAAAAAAGAAAGAAAAATTTTACATTTTTACGCCTGTAGGAAAAATATTGTACCTAACACTTGCGGAAAATATTTTTCCGCACTTGTTAGGTAAATAGCTATTTTCTGCCATTGACAAGAAATGTCAGCATTTTTGACCGGTTGACAGGTCGCAAAACTCATTATTCTGGTATTTCAATTATGTTCCAATAGTTGCTAAGGAATCAATGAATAACAATACTGGAAACACTTTTCCGGCCTAGGCCGGGAAAGTGATTCTCGTAATGCTGAATAATTGGGATTAAAAGACAAACATTTAACAGCTATTGAACCGATCGCAGAAAAAATAGTACCTATGTGTATTTCGGTGGAAAAGCACATTCTCGGCCTTCGGTGTTTGCCGGTCTCGGCTACGCCTCGCCCGTCAACTTACACCGTTGGCCGAGAATGTGTCAATTTTTCACCTAAATACGCAATATACTATTTTTAAAGTAAATTAATATACTTATTTATTTCCACTAATTTTTACTGAATGACCAATTAGATTTAATCAATTCACCACTTTTAAATTTATTTATTGTATAACAACTTTCTAGATTAACATAAAATTAGACCAGCTTTTACCTTATTTATATTTGACAATTTAACTTTTATGTCTACATCTTTCTGATGAAGCTACAGTGTAGCGAAACATGTTAAAGTTTAACAAAAATAAGTGGAAATACATAAGTATATAAATTTACTTTAAAAAAATCTTTTACTAGATAATGAATTTCCAGCTTGTAACAGCCGATTCAATAAAAAAAAAAAAAAAAGTATAATATACAGAAATTGTATTGCATCAGTTTAAATTCTGTATACTATTTGGGACAGACAAGCAGTAGTATTACTGGTGAAAAATGCGCTGTTCTACACTTTTTTGCATACTCATCAATATTAATTGCCTTATTGCAACTATATAAGAAACTGTATCGAGATTATACAGAAGATAGTATAGTTATTGAATCAGAGTTTACATACCCAGTGTACAAGTGGCTGTATAGTCATTGTACAACTAGTTGAGTAGCCATTATGCAAGTGGTTGTATAGTGTTTTTAAGTTGCAGAATGCCCAATATATGTATAAATAGTTGCATGGCTCTTAATAAAGTTGTTGTATAGCTATTATAATACTGGTTGTGTTGTCACACTATACCAGGATTGTTTACCCATGCTACTTGTGGTTGTATAGTTATTAAACAATGCTTTCTTTAGCGGCTGCATTATGTGTATACAAGAGTTTGTTTTAGTCGATGTACCGATATATCGAAAATCGCGTCGGTCGTCAATTCAAAAATTTAAATGTTGACAGAATTTAGTAAAGTAGGCATTTAATTCTAACAAAAATTACATTTCAGAACCGCCAAAACATCATTTTTAACAACTGGTTAACAAAATTAAAATAAAAATTGAATAATTATTGATAAGTAGAATGCTTAACTAATAACTAGATACTTATTTATATGTTGTTGGGTATATACTCAAGGGGGTGACTTATAGTCCTGTATGGTAGGTTTATAATTGATGTTTTTTGTCGGACAGCAAATTGGTCGCGATATATTTGTCGGACACTTATATTACATGTCGACTACTTCTCTTACATGCATGATTCTTTTTTTGTCCGACAGTTATTCATTAATTTTTTGACTTCGTGAAACCTATAATTTTCTCGCGTCGGACTGGAAAATCGGAAAATCTACTATGTCGGACACTTGGATATTTATATTCTACATATTTTTATTAAGTAATCTAGAAAAAATCAGCTCGTTATCCAAAATTTTTTTTTAACTTATCAATTAGATATGTTTGAGTTGGTAGACACCCTTAACGGTCCAACATTTTTGTCGGACACATTTTTTTTCGCGTTTTTCATAAATTTGTCTCGCGATTTCACTAAAAATAAAAACGATATCCATAAATTTTTTGCACCACGCGAAATGGTCGGCTTTCGGAAAAACTAGAAAAGAAAAGCCCCCACTACGAAAGTTTTCATAAAGGGAAAAGGTGGCAGACTAGGCGCAATTCAGCCACACAAAACTTTCCATGACAGTATTCATAAATGCAACTTTATGTCGCTGGGCACTCACACTAATACTGACGGATAACCAAAAGATTTTGGTATACCTGAGATTGTGGAACGAAATTTTACTAGTTAACCCTAATCCGTCAGACATCTTCTGGTCACTATCGATTGTGATAATGGGCCTAAGTGTCCGATCCGCCTAAGGAAACCCACACCCTCATAAAGTAAAATATGGATTACCGAGACCATACCTGCCGAAACCTTCCAGAGACACAGTATGGCTTTAAACCCAACCGAGGTACCATCGTTACCAAAAGTAACTGGGACAGCATCATGTTAGCTATTGTACTATTATATGATTTTAAGTGTCAAATATTTGTCAAACTATGAATTAAATGCATTGAAATGAATGATGCTAGAAAAAGTCCAGGAGATTGATATGAAATATTTTTGTCCCAGATACTTTTGGTGACGATGGTACAGCTGACATGATTTCCAGTGCAAGAAAAATGCAAGAGAAATCCAGGGGATAAATTTCCAGTCCAATTTTTGAAGTCCTTCCTTTTTTTCATTTCAGGTATACAAAGATGACGACGGATAAAACAAAGTGACGAGTAAAAAAACTTGATCTATTTGTGTATTAGGTACATAAATAGCTCACCTTTACCACGATCTCTTGTCATCTCATATCCAAAACACCGGAGAATACCCATAATAACACAAAATATTTGAAAACCCATCATTCTGCTCAAATTTATAAAATATCGCGAATCGCAAAGGGAGTGATTTAGACACAAAACTTTTTCGCGCGCTAAAATGACATACGATTTCCGGAAAAAGGGGTTCAAGAGCTCGAAGCGATTCAGTCGGCTTTATCCTGTGAGCAAACGGTGAGTGGCCGAAATTCCACTAGTAGAGTTTGGGACCGAAATAAGCGCGTGCGTCAAAAACTTTTAGCTCCAAAAACTCCTCTCTGCCTAGAGAGAATCTGCATGATGCTATACTATGTGGATTGATGTTTATGATCGAGACTTGTTATAGTATACTAGCTAACCCGGCGAACTTCGTACCGCCTCAGAAATCAGAATTATTAAATGTTGCGTTAACGTATCTAGTAGCTGAATTAATTTTCGATGGTGAATTTGGCCTTGATTGAAGAAAATTAATGTTTAACTCTCTCAGAAAACACCTAAATCAACTAAAAACATCATTCCCTTTTAGGTACCTTGTGGGCATTATTCTTGTAAAGTAAACTACCAAATAAATAAACTCAGGCACAGGAATGTCCAAAGAATGCAGAGAAAACCAAAAAAATCGTCTGAATCGTCAATAACCACCGATTCAAAAATTCATATTAAAATTGACATAATAATTACCACAGGATCAAATGTAAACAAAATTATCTCGGCCTGCAGTGCACTGCCATATTGAATCACGTGATTTGAATTGTTTAATAAAATAACATAAACATAACCTATCACAATATTCACAATTTGTACTCATCCTTTTCGAGGTTGAAAATTAAATAAATGTTTCTATCATGTATCATAGATGGCGTCATATAAGGAATGGTATGTAATGAAAGGTTAATAGTTGGGGTATGTAGTGGTGAGAAGCAAAAAAAAAAAAATTAAAAATTTTTGGGGTGGACCACCCCAATCATTTAAGGGTATTAAAAATAGATTACGTCCTATTCTCAGACCTACCGAATATACATAGGTATAAAGTTTAATAAAAATCGGTAAAGCTGTTTCGGAGGAGTATTGTAACTAACACTGTGACACGAGAATTTTATATTAGACTAGCATTACCCGTCACGGCTTCGCCCGCGATTTTTCAACTTATTAGGCTGTGTAGGTATTATCTATGGTATGTGTCTATGAAAAATGTTGTGTTTGACAGTGCTTTGGCAGTATGCTTTGTTTTCGATGCGACAAACCATCGATTACTTTTGGGGCTGCCTCTTGATATTACCCTACTCAGTTCAGATAATGACACCCTCCAGTCATAATCTGCGTGTTTGTATAATCGTCTTCAATGGCCTGGTTGATTATATTATTATTATTTACAATTTATATTAAATGCTGATGCCGTGCAGTTGGTGAGGTGACTGATTGACATGGTTTCGGAGTCGGACACTCTGCTGACGCTGAGCTACTTACTGAACGGATTGTGCTTATTGTGATTATGCAATGTTATGTATGTACGCTTGTTGGTTGTTGTGCCAATATCTTTGATGGTGCCATGAAATGATTTATGTATTCAAGTCGCTAGTTGGTTCTGCTATGAAAGGATTTTGCAAAAATTTAATTTTAAACAGCGAAGTTGTTACGTGTAGTGTAGACATGTTTCACATATGCGGCGAGCTAAAATCCGATTGAAGCCAAATTTCGTAAAACTGAAAAATTAGTTTTTAGATATTCATCTCAGAAGTATTTCAGAAAAAGAGTGGCGTCGATATCTTATTTTATTATCAAGTTATGACAGCTTAAATGAATTTGTAACGAAATTTTTTGTGTAACCTTTTTTGCCCCTTCCACTTTGAATTTCAAAAAAAGCATGAATTTGTTTTTAGGTATTTATATAAAGAATATTTTAGTACAAAAACGAAGTCGATATCTTAATTAGAAGCCGAGAAAACTGAAAAAATGTGAATTTTTAAAAAAATTGTTTTTAACCCTTTAAAATTAAAATTATTCAAAATCCTTTCTTAGCACACCTACAAATACGTAACAGAACATATCCTGAAAATTTCATGTCTCTAACTTAAATAGTTTTGGCTGGGCGTTGATAATCAGTTAGGACAAGCTCTTTTATATATATATAGATTATAATTTAAATGTATGAGAGGGACTTTAAAGCACGCGCAACCAGGCCCGGCTTGTGAGTTTTTCTACAGGTGGGTCAAATTTAGTGGGACAGCGCCGTTTTCCGAAAGTCAAGCCACCACTAGAAATTGAAGAAATGATTTCCTGAACAAGGGAACTTATTTTTGTGAAGCGATTAAGACTGAGATCACACAAAAAATTAGATCTTTGAGAATCAAACGATAATCGAAATCAAAACAAAAACAATCATGTGCACAATTTAAGAAAAATAAATCTGGACACCCCAACCCTATAAATACCTATATCGATCGATCGAGGATCCTACTGCCGCTGCCGGCCGTCGACGTGATGGGACATATGGGAGCAAATGTGCCTCTTTATCTTACTCATTTACGCCCGTTATGACTCTCTCTCTCTGATTCCTATTGCATTCGCCTATGATCATTTAAACTCTATAAGCCCAATTTTAAATACGGCCGAGCGCAGCAGGCCTGTTAAGCGTATTGTTGGGTGATTTAAAACTTAATATTCAAAATGTTTCATTGAAAATTTATTGTTTGATTTTTTGGTAGGTCATTGACCGAATGACCTTACAGAGGAGCCGCGCCTGCGCGCGACGTATTTCAAAACACAACGCGCGGCGGGGTATTTTGTTAGTCACAAGGGCTTTGAAGTCCCTCTTATACACGTATATCATACGCTATTTTTTATAATGAATGCATCATGATGTCAAAAATGTTTTATGCCCGATTGCACCATCTCTCTTAACTGAGGCTTAACGATAACTATCCCTTAAATTGACAGTTTTGCATGGGAAAATGTCACTTTAAGGAATAGTTATCTCTAAGCCTCGGTTAAGAGAGATGGTGCAATCGGGCATTAAATGTGTTAATTTATTTTGATAAATAGTAATTTAAATGGCAGGTAAATATCTAGCTATGCATGCGTAGTAAAAAATAATGTGTTCCATACACGTTGTAATTAATTAACTGCGACGTAATAAGGTATTCTGTGAATGCAGCATGTTAATTAATGAGATTTCGGTCCAGGGTACTTAGAAAACTGTGCTGCCGATTCTCGTTTTAACCAAAGGAAATATTAGAAAATGTTCCAGCATATAATTTTAATTTTGTACCTACCTAATCTCCATACTACTGAAATAAATAGTCATGTGGCACCTTTGTGTCGATCCTGCAAGCTACAAATGCCAACTGAATTTGTTGGTAAATAAATGAATATCCATATATTTTGCATTGTCGGCATCTTCAAGCTTTTTAATATTTTTCATCAAAATTTATGACAGCAAGATACATTTATATCGTGCCTCATTAAAAAGATGATGCAACATACCTACTTTCATCAATTCGGAAAAAATCCTCAAACAAAAGCTTCAATACTCTCTCAAGCTAAACAAAGGATACAAAAAGGCGCTGTTTTCTGAGAAAGCGCAAGATAAAATATTGCTCACAAGGATTGGTTTAAACCGTGCCCGTCATGCGTTTTTTTTTTGTAATAATTTTTTTCATCCACTTTCTTTTCCTCTGAGTCCTCACCAAATACCAAATGTAATGTTCCAAAACTAATATTTTGATAGCATTTTTATGTTATTTAGTAATATATTTCAGCATTGTTTAGGGGAAATTTCGGAATAAATGAAGACAAATGCTTGTAAAATTGGGAGACTCGTTTAGGAAATGAGATTTCTCTACTTTCGTCTCCACAAAATGTACGCATATCAAGCAAAAAATGCATAGATAAAATATCTTTTTTTCTTAACCAACTAATTTAAAGTGTAATTTCTAGTCTAGTCTAGTTTTCGCATCTAATTTTCGATGCGCGGCTCTATTATTCTACAATGTTCAAAGTTCAAGCAACCCTATATAACTGGTTTGTTTTTGTCCTTCAATCCCGCAAACTTACAGTTTAAACAATGGGTTCCGTTAATATTCGATTATTTAGTCGGAAATATTCCACAAAATTCATAATTAAGAGAGAAAACAAAGAAAAATCCATTATGGGCATTAATAAGCACCTTTATTGAACAAAAATCTCCATCTTCACGCGGTCTCTAATTGAAACTTTATTATCGTCAATACTTGACGATCTTGTACCTAGAACCGTGTTAGGACAATAAATATTTTTTCCGGAAGCACATTAAAAAATCGTCATTTTTGAAAACATCTTTGGAAGAAAACGTCAACATTTCCTTTTGCCTAGTCGTTGCCAGGAACGGAAGGTTAACTGTAAGGAAATATTTCCTTGAAGTAAATAAAAAAATATATTCGAGTTTTTTTTTTCGGAATCAATTTTCCTATTTTTGTGAATTTCAATAAATTACAGAATCTGCCATTTCGACCATATTCCGGGCAATTGAAATATGTTCCGAGTGACTTAATATTTTTGTGTTTTGACATTTTAAATAAACAGACTTGAAATTCATCGTAAATCATATCGGCAGTGGCAGCCATTTATTTTTCTAAAAATGGATGAAAAACTGATTGTGCGGAAAGTGTTTTTTCCACACTCAACTGCTAGCCTGGCCAACTGCAGTGGCATGCGCAAAAGTAGGTACCTACCACTTTCCGCACTTGTTAAGGAAATAACTATATATTTTAATTTTCAAAACTCTTATATGTATTTGCGCTAAGCTCATAAAAGTTTGAATAATAAACCTGTGTAGGCTTCCGCTTATCTCGCCTAGCTCATTGAATAATTTAATCACCATTCAAGCGGAAAGCTACATATACAAATAACGGCATAATGAAGACGGGAAAATTTTAATTTGGAAAAATTTCTATTATACCTTGTAATTTTTGCGAACAATAATTTTTAGGATAAAATACAATTATTTATCAGATTTGAAAAACATTCTATAATACATATTATCACAAGGAACATTTCTCTTTATACCATCCATTGTGGTCATGGCTTGAAGAAAATATATGAAAACAATTTTTCAAAATAAATCGCCTCTTTGGGAATCCTATTTTCCCGTGAAATCAACGTATTTTTATTTATTGTAGCCAGTGTTTTCGATGGTAGTAAATTCACATTATCACAAGTTA